CAGGTATAGTTGACAAATCATAACGAGATCAGTACCACACAGTTTGGCCAGGTATAGTTGACAAATCATAACGAGATCAGTACCACACAGTTTGGCCAGGTATAGTTGACAAATCATAACGAGATCAGTACCACACAGTTTGGTTAGGTATAGATTACAAATCATAACGAGATCAGTACCACACAGTTTGGCCAGGTATAGTTGACAAATCATAACGAGATCAGTACCACACAGTTTGGTTAGGTATAGATTACAAATCATAACGAGATCAGTACCACACAGTTTGGCCAGGTATAATTAACAATTCGTATTGTTATGCGACTGGTGTTCATATTCTAATCACATAAGTCACATTTTCTGTAGTGCCAAACACATTGTACGTTATACGGAAAATCCTTTTTATAGATGGTAAAGAAATAAAGTATTGAGTAATATAAACATAACCAGGTTATTATGGTCTGTTAACAATCAAAAGGTTCAGCCTGTTTAAAAGTCTTTATTCAAAAAAGTGTTTGTTTAAGTTGTAATTTGGTTTATACACAAGTTGCCGAAGTGAAGAACAAGTGGTCAAAGGACAGTTGTGGTAACCCTTAACCTTTTAATTTACATGGTTTACAAATTGAATTATTATTATTATTATTTTTAAAAAGTGCATAGAATTTGTATTAGAGATGTGTGTTTTTTATTTAAAACTAATGACATTATGTAAAGTACAGGGGGAACAGACTGCAAAAGTGTATTTTAACACTTGGTAATATCTGGGGTCCTGACATTGAATAATTTTAAAGTAGCGAAAACACTGCTTTGTTTATCTAGGATTTGAAGAAATTCTTGATCGATAGTCAATCGAAGCGTGAGTTTTTAGTGGAAAGTGGATCGCTTCTTCGTATGGCTGTTAATGTGGCTTCTGGATTATGGCACATTCATGAGCAAGGATTTATCCACATGTAAGTTTTGATTTTAGTTCTAGAATTATTAATAACAAGCTCTCCTTCACAGCTCACTAATATTTTTTTCATACAGGT